GGCCAACAGCTTCAGGTAATGTTCACATCAACCATCAAAACGGGGAAAAAATGTGATCTCAGTGATTTTGACTGTGACAGTTGTTGGTGCCAAATGTTTTTCTATAACTGCTGAGCTCCTGGGATTGTCAGGCACAACAGTCTCTAGACCTTACTCAGAATGGTGCAATTTAAAACATCCAGCGAGCAGCAGTTTGAAAACCCCTTATTGATGAGAGAGGTCATCAGAGAATGGCCAGACTGGTTTGAGCTGACAGAAAAGCTACAGTAACTCAGATACTAATCTGTACAATTGTGGTGAGCAGAAAAGCATCTCAGAATGCACAACACTTGGAACCTTGAGGTGGATGGGCTACAACAGCTGAAGACCACAGGTTCCATTTCTGTCAGTCAAGAACAGAAAGCTGAGGCTGCACTGGGCACAGGCTCACCAAAACTGGACAGCTGAAGATGGGAAAAAATGTAGCCTGGTCTGATGAATCTTGATTTCTGCTGAGGCACTCACATGGTAGGGTCAGAACTTGGCCCCAACAGCATGAATCCATGGACCCAACCTGCCTTGTGTCAACAGTGCAGGCTTGTAGAGGTGGTGTAATGGTATAGGGAATGTTTTCTTGGCACACTTTGGGCCTGTTAGTACCAATCAATCATTGCAGCCTATTTGAGTATTGTTGCTGATCATGTGCATCATGGCCACAATTTACCATCTTCTAATGGCTACCTCCAGCATGATAATGCATCATGTCACAAAGCAAAAGTTCTCAAACTGGTTTCATGAACATGACAATGAGTTCAATGTTCGCCAGCGGTCTTCAGTCACCAAATCTGAACCCAATAGAACACCTTTGGGATATGCTAGAATGGGAGATTCAAAAGAGGGATGCAATCATGTTAACATGGACCAGAATCTCAAAGGAATGTTTCCAACATCTTGAGGAATCTATACCATGAAGAAATTAGGCTGTTTTGATAGCAAAGAGAGGCCTTATCTAGTGTTAGTATAGTATAGTATAGTATATAGTTAGTTAGGGTTCATGGGGGTCCTGACCACTGAAGAACAGGGTAAAAGGGGCTAACAAAGTATGCAGAGAAACAGATGGACTACAGGCTGCAATTGTAGAACTACAAAGTGCACCTATATTGTGGAGCTGATAAAATGGACAATGAGCGTAGAAACAAGGAGGTGGTCATGATGTTATGCCTGATCGGTGAAGTGTTCCTAATAAAGTGCTCTGTTGATGTATATATCTGTTTGAGTCTTGTCCTTGCCATGCATTATGTTTTCTACCTTTTTGTCTTTTGTGGTTTCCAGTTATTTGTCTTACTCCTGAATTCCCCATATCAGTTCCTCTTCCTGGCCTAACTATTAAAGCACAGGCTTGCCATGTATTAGATGTTATAAATATTGTACCTACTGCGTGAACGTATGCAATGCTACCCAAAAATCTGCCACTGGCTTTTGATTAAACTCAGTTTTCAAAGAGCAGGTCGTATCAGTTTCAGTGAGGCTCTCTTGCTCAGGAGTTGGTGAGTGGAGCACAGGGGTGGCAGAGCTGCTTTCTGATTCATCCCCAATGTCACTGTGCGTACCTCAGTTTGGAAACCACTGCTCTGAGCTAACTGGACACCTCTCATTTGGTCTCTGCTACACCAATAAACATCAGGTATCCTCCTCATTGAGCTCACCCTCCTACAAAAATACTGCTTAAGGTATGACATTCCCTGGACGTATATAACCTATCCAAAAATTCCTCAAAAAGATTCCAGAAACCATCACTAGATCAAGTTTCTTATTAAATTCACTAACTTGTGCTTGGACATTACGCTCAGTCTTAACTTCGTCTAATCCTCACTATACACATTTGAAAAGAATAAAGGTCTTTCAGAGAAGAGCTGGCGTGCTGCAGTGGTACGTGAAATCTTCTAGGGCCAAGTGTAATCAGCTGGACTCTCCATCTGGTCTCATGCAGACATTTGTCCCATAGGTGTTGCCAATGCTGTATTTTACATTTGACACTGTGTTCAAATGAAAAATATATAAGCCGGCAATACATAAAGCTCAGCAGTGGCAACTCTAACTGAAAGAGAAGAAACAAAAAAACAACTAGTTTCTGAAATTAATATACATCCAGTTTCTACACATAATTCTATATGCTCAGATCAGGACATGCACATAAGTCTCAGTGATTTGTCAGGGCCCCATTCATTCTGTAAACTCTGATATTTGATGGCCACAACTGCTGCCAAAGCAAACAGGCACCTACGGAGAGATTTCATTCCTACATTATTGTCACATCTATCGGCAGATTTGCTAATATCGTGCCCTGCAACCAAACCAAGCCACACAATGCTAACCTGTTTCCAAAAAACATGATACATATGTGTCCTCAGCAGAGTGAATGAGATCACTGTTTCACACAGCCAGTGGAAATTCCTCACAGGTACTTGCAGTGCACTACACAAACATCACTTCTCCAAACTAGTCTCATCATAAAGCATTTTAATGCCGATATACCATAATTTGGACATATTTTTTTTCTTTTTGTCCTTGCAAAATGACTGCTAAACAGCATAATCCATTCAATCACTAGCAAACCTTAGAGGAAGAGGATTAAAAATAATAATAATAATAATAATAATAATAATAATAAAAATTCTAAATGTGTTTTTTGCTATGCTCAGTCCTAGTACTGGGTCAGTAAGGCTAGCTACTGAACTCATCACATTCAAATACAGTAAACTGAGATCTTTGTAAAGGCTGATTCCACAAAATGCTGTGGTTAAAACATGCTGCAAACTCTGATCCACAGCAATCTAACAGAAAAGATCCCTCTGCATTGCACTAGTTTGTTTCTCTGGTGTAAAATAAACATTCGTTAACAATTATAAAACTGACTTTTTTATGCTCTTTCTAAAAGTCATCATCTGACTGGGCGCAGCTTTCCTGCATTCCCCGGCACAACACGGCAAAACAATCAGCCGGTATACAAGTGAGCTGCACACACGAGCGAGCCAGCTCCTGTGACGTCTAGGGAACTTGATAGCTTATGAAACCTTCACTGCAGTCTTGTAACAATCACACGCAGCACGCAGTGATGAGCCCTTAGAGAGGCTGCCTGAACACTAGATAGATCACTAAACAGATTGCCAGCAACAGATCAGAGAGAGAGAGGGGGCGGGCAATATGACAATAGGTATCGCTATCACGATAAATTACGTCAAGTTACATCAAAATCTGTTTTCCTGAGCATCTTTGTATCATCAATACTTAAACAACACTGACCAAATGTCATTATTAGAGCATAATTAGTCCTGTTTATTTGAAATTGGGTAAAAAACAGAAACAAAATAAAAAACATTGTGTTCACAGAGCCTGATATTAATTTTTTAAAGGGAAATTCCATCAACTTTTCAACATTTCTGTATAATTTAGCATGTAAACAAAGTCATTTAGAGTAGTTTGATGTGAAGTGGTGCATTTTAGAGAAAACTACAGACTCAGAAATTACTTTACAAGCAACGAGATTTCTTTATGATGGTGGTGATAGAAAATAGGGGTCATGATGTCTACAACAAAATATAGCCATTTTATTTACTATGTAAAATGATCAGTGAACCTGCACATCTTCCTACTTGTCATGCATGCTGATAATGGTAAAAGAATGGTAAACCTGAAAAATAAGTTATCTTTGGAGGCTATTTTGCTTCATAGTTCCCTTCATGTACTTCTTCACCTTGAAAGGACATAAAAATGTGTTTTAGAACAAAATGTTCTAAAAACTATTGTGACAGAACGTCTCAGGCCTCAGGCAGAGTAGGGAGGTTTGGTGGCATTAAACACTTCGGACGTCTGGTTCCTATCACTGTCTGGTTCCTCCACTGTGAACAATTCTAACTTGGCAAGTTTCTCTAGAACGGCGCATTTCATATCAAACTACTCCGGATGACTTTGTTCACATCTTAACAATTTAATGATTCAAAAACTGGTGGAATTCTCCTTTAGTTGTGGCAGTCCTGATTCTTTTTTGTTATAGCTTATAACAAACTAGAAAAACTAAATATCGTGATCATGAAAAAGTCTTAAGGTACTGTGATGTTAATTTTTTGCCATATCGCTCAGTCCTGAAAGAGAGGGAGCTGCAGACTTAGGTCTTTTTTGTCTTACATAGGACGCAAAGAAAGACTGGAAATGGGAGACAATCTAAGATTAGGGCCAACGATATCATAGCATGGTAAGACAAGAACATGGTTTTAAAACAATTATATTATGATATAATTAGCATAATAACAGAAGCAATGGTCTAGTTCAGTATAATGCACATGGTTCGTACTCATTCTGCTCTTTAGCGCAGAAATCTAGTGCATCATTAGAGGTACTGATGCTTAAGACATTTCTTTGATGATGAGGATGAAAAAATGAATAAAAAATGTGAAGACTATGTCTTAAAACCTCAAACTCTGAAGGCCTGTATGTGTTTCCACACTTCAGCTCCTCACTTTCAAAACGACAATTTATAAATTACATACTGGTTACAGAACAATAAACCTCAGGATTCTAAGTGTGATATGAAGGGGTTAAGGGGTTGATCCAGGGCTTATAAACCTAAAAGAGTCAAAACCCAACTAATTATTAAATTAAGTGAAACTCAGTCAAGAGCTCACCCACAATGTGGCTGCCCCATCAACAGGGCATTTTTTTCTGCTCCTTTCATGCAAAGCAACGGAATTATCACCATGGTTACTCTACCTGCAAATCTGTCCGATGCAATGATTTAGATCTGCCACATCTCACAGGTATGGAAAGCACACGAGGAGAGCGTTTGAGCACACGTTTGAGCAAACATCTCCCTCAGCTTACTGCAGAATTCACAGAGCACTGTAACGGAAAACGGAGAAATCACAGAGGCTTGGAGATACATTCCTGAGCTGGTCATATTTAACAAGAATGCTTTAGCTGAGGGGAAAAAATTAGAGAGAGTGAGAGACAGAGGGAGAAAGAGCTACATTCATGAAGATTTATTGACATTTAATTAAAAGCATTATTTTACAATATTACTCTGTCAGTTCAAACAAATATTTCAATATTACAAGTTATTTAAAAAAGAACTCAGTATCAGCAAATATTTATAGAGCCACTGGGATGTGCAATAACAGTATGTTATATTGTTTGCATACATTCTCATGAATTATAGATTCAATGGAATAAGCCAACATCCTGAATATCAATGGTGATGTCCATCCACACACAAACATAAAACAAGAGAAAAGTCATTATTTAAAAACATAACATGACATGATTTAAACAACCAAAGAGAAGAGTTCCACACCAACAGGACAAAGGGGTCACAGGACAAAAACCTTTATAATGTCCTCCAGCTCTCACTGGCTTACATTAGAGAAGTGCTACAGCCTGTCACCTGCTAGAGAGAAATGGCTCTCATTAGGAAAAGGGCATGAAAGACAGAAGACTCCGCATGCCACTGAAAAGGAAATAAGCAAAAATGCACATCTAAACACTGAGATTAAGCACTTCAAATACACACGAGTGTTTCTCACAAATCTACACACATACAGCGTCCTCGGATAGACCACAGTTGAGGCTGACACTGGATTCTGTCTTCCATTTCCACAACCGTGACTACAAAACTGGTACACTTGGAACAATATCCCAGTACATAGTAAAAATAAGACCATCTGAAAACACCAATTCTGCCAAACTCTGACCAAAAACAGCATCAACCTCAAGGAAAAACTGGTCACAAATTCAGTATTCAAGAAGGCCTGGATGAATACTTAAGGTAGAGATAAACTGGCAGTCATATTTTCCTTCTACTATCTTTTTTTTCTTATAAAACATACACAGTATAAATCAGTTGTGTCAGTCTGCTTGATTTACAAACCCTTCAACTTCATGTTTTTAAGAAGCCAGGCCAAGTTGATAAAACCAGTAAAGTGGATGTCCAACATGATAGTGACACCACTATTCTGAAACCAAAGCTGTGCAAGATAGAAAAAAAATGCAAAAGTAAGTATATATACTCTACAGCGACCAAACTTCAGTTTATTCACTGTAGAAGATGTGTTAACATGTCATTTGACCAGGGGTGTTCAAACTTGCAAATGTCTGTACTCAAGTAACATTTTAATAAAATACAATAATTTATTTTAGACCAAAAGGATCCCAAAAAGAGAAAAGCACAGCCTAAAAAGAATCAGTTCCTATGCTGATGTACTAAGAAGTTTCAATGCACTTCTATAAGTTACTTTTGCACTTCTACTTAAGTTTTTGAATAGGTACTTTTACTTGTTACGAGTCATTATTTCTCCAAACTGACTATACTTTCACTTGAGAATAGATTTAGCCTACTCTACACCCTACACCACTTGGTCTTCAAGCAGTGTGTGAGACTGATATCTACTGATGAGTGTTTTGCACTCAATAAATGAGAAACACAAACTAAGAGGGCAAACACTCTGAAAAACACACACTGTAGTGCATATAATGGTCCTAGGTACATCAACTAACATTTTTTCCACCGTTATAGAGAGTGGCCTTGTCTGTGAAAGGATTCACAGTTTTATGGTTTCATTTTGTCACGCAAAAAATTAGCCACCCACACTTCACTGTTTACCACCAGTTACCATAACAACAGAAGGCACATGTAGACTCTGTCAGTGCTGTTATGCATGTGTGCTGACAAGGACTGCCCTGAGCCAATCACAGACAGAGCAAACTATAAAACAATTCAAGTGGTCAAAATGCATAGTATGTGTACACAGGTGAATACTCATACCTGTTTTGTGCATCTGCCTGTGAGCCTGTCTGACCTGCTATGATTATGTTTGTCTATGTGTGTCAGTGAGTTAGAGCAGTTAGCAGTAACAGCCCCCTGATGTAGGCTGTGTAGCCTGTTCAGACAGGTACACTCCAGTCTTTCTTTCACTCTCCCACAGCCCTGGAGTCTGCAAAATCTTCTCCACCAGCTCTTCGAAGGCACACTCAACACCGTCCCGCGTCTTAGCACTGGCCTCTGTGAGATAAAATAGATTAGAAGGGGTCTCTGGTAAAATCGGTTAAATTCTGATTTGAAAGAATGCAATTTTCAAATAGGAAAAAAGTGTGATTTTTATTATGTCCTACATTATTCAGTGTTGCCTTAGCATATTTAAGTCTTAACCTTATGATACGGAGCTTGTGAACTGTCAGTCTGGCACACAACATCTAGAACTATAATCTATAATCTAATAACCTATAATCACATTTAAAACACAGTCACAATATTGATCAAAAATCACAACATGATGTTTTCTCCAAATCATTCAACCTTAGCACCTAGATATTTTTTGGACATGTAATGTACCAGATATTTAAAGAAAACAGAGTACAAAACTACATAAAAACATGAAATAGTAAGAACTAAAAAATGGAAAAAGTAAACTGAAAAGAAAGAACTGAAGCCATGCTATTCTTCTTCATACTAAATCTCCAAATTGTGTGCCAGATCCTTTTCTTATGTTTTTTTGTGGTTAATTCTTATGATCCATTTCTTATATATCAGTTCACTAATGCGGTCATTACATTTAAAACCCCCACCTGCAGTTCAGAGCACTGGCAAACTAAAAATAGGTTCAGACCATTCATGAGTTAATTCAGGAAAATAAATGAGTATTTACTGTGCAAAAATAAATGATGAACATTCTTCCAGAAAACAATGTCATAAAAATTGTTCATGATACGACTGAATCATAAAAATTCCTCTTAGTTTAGGACATACTTTCCCCTTGATAATAAAAGCACATGAGAAACATTCCCAACTGCACTCATTCTCAGTAATCAACACTGATTAGAATGAAGGAGATTCTCTTAATTTACCTATAAAAAGCATGGAATGTTTTCTAGCAAACTTCAGGCCTTCATTTCGGTCCACCTCACGGTCCTCCTGCAGTACAGTGAAACAGGAGAAAGAAAAGTACAGTGAGAGCGATGGAGAGATAATGTATCACAATAACACTGCTACAGAAGCACAAACATGAGATTTTTCCATAGCCACTGTCCCAATTCACTGAAAAAAAAGCACAAAACACAGACACTAAAGAGAGTGTGCCAGCAAGCACGAGAATAAACATGAAAGCTGCTCAATTCTGTGCAAAAATCACAACAAAGAAAGATCAGCAAGCCAGTTTCTGTCAGAAACAAATCAAGTTTATTTTTGCTTTCATTTGATCTTGTACATGAGACAATCTGTTCAGAGCTACAATCGCTCAGCAAGACTCAAAACAAACAGCACTGGCCAAGGGATGAGTCTTAAAATAGCTGTGAAAACAGACTTGTGAGAGCCACTGACTAAGATATGTGTGTGACTAAGGGCTCTGTTATATGTGTATGTGGAAGCTAAGATTTATAGTGCAAGTGTCCATTGTTTTCCAGGCAAAACCCTGTATCCGAACGAGTATTCCAGAAATGAAAAAAATTACAAAAGAATAACTAGCATGTCTATGATACTTCAATTCTGATAAAAGTTTGAGAAAGGGACAAGCTGAAAGACAACAACTGTAAATCTGAATAAAGGTTAAAAGGTTAAAACATTCAAAATGATCCAAAACGCATGCTTTGATTTTATAACATTATATGATAATGCAGTAGTTGAATGTGGTAAATGTGTGTGACACGCTTGAAACCCCAGTTCATCATATGTCATGCACACTAAAGTGTACCTTATCAATTTTATTTCCCACAAGCATCTTGACAAGCTCATTTCGCGTGCAGTACGTCTCCAATTCGTTCAACCAGGTGCTCAGTTTGGTAAACGTCTCTCGTCTTGTGACATCATACACTGTGATGAACATGCACAGAGAAGGGAAACAAATATTAAACCACATCTTCTGACCAGTCAGACACATGAGGAACATGACAGGCATACTCTTTTATGCACTAAAACTGAAAGTATGACTAACCTATCCTTGCTCCACCCACAAATATGATCTTTCGTAGCAACTGTTGTTAGGTTGAACAAGTATTACAGAAAAGTCAGCAAAAGTCCTATTCAACCTAATGAAAAACTGTAAGCTGTAGCTAATCGAAAACATGCAGACTGGAAAAGACAGTGACATCTGCCACTATGCTAACGTTAACTCACATACATTTAACAACACTGTCAGAAAGAAGGGTACGGCACACATACGTTTTCGATCTCCAAGGTATAAACAATGTAAAAGTCCCCTCAAAAATGGTCTTAAGATGCAACTTGTCTAACCTGTCTAACCTACCAACAGTTGGCGGGAAAGACCACATTTCTGGGCAATGCATGGGTAAGTCAAATGTTGCATATTTAAAAACTATTTACTGTATTTATTATTACATCATATGAACTTTAGGATGAGCTGAAAGTACTGCAGAGCGCTATCAAGGTTTCATAAGGAATGTTTTCATGTTACTATATTAACTCACCCAGTATAACACCTTGGGCTCCTCTGTAGTAACTGGGTGTTAAGGTCCGAAAACGCTCCTGACCCGCTGTGTCCTTAATAAAGTGGGAGGAAAAAAGAAAGGATAACATTCAGACACATACACAAAATTATTAATTCTCACATGATAGAACCCAGACAAAGTAAATGTCATGGAACAGCCAAATTACTGAATATTAAAATAAATTGAGCCTACAATATGGAGGCTTCTATTTCCGCATTAATACCTCACATTCCGATCCAAAAAATGCAGACTTCCATATACAGAATTTATTTGATCTGTTAATAACTGTGTGGGAATACTGCCCTCTGCTGGTGGACAGAGGGGTGTGAATGAGTCTCCACAGGTGTTACAGCCTCCATTAGTCCTTGGCTATTTCATTATCCCTGATCCACAGCCTAAGCCTTTGCAGCTGTGTACACATGATATGTAATGAAATGCATGGCATACAGATCTAAATCTTAACCGAAGCTATTCTGCAGAAAATAGTGCCAGTCTGGTCAGATTCATGAACGTGAAAGAAGTGGGGGGCTTATGTGTTTAACTGCTTACCCAAATTGCTAACTTTGTCTGGTTCCCATCCACAGCAATGGTCTTCACTTTGAAATCTACACCTGCAGTTAGCAAAGACATTCATGTAATATATATGTATGTTATTAAAAAACTGAAACCAAAACCAAAAAATATTTTTGTGAACTGATACAAAAATTGGATAAAATCTAAACAAAACACAAGCAATTATGTATATATATGTATATATCTCACTGGTTAGAAGTCTGGACATCATACTACAACTACAAAATCTAAACCTGAAAGTGATATATTTAATGTTTTTTAATGGTCTTAAAATAAAAAAAGGACAAAAAAAATTAAAACTGAAACTAAACATCCTTCATGAAATCTAACACTTGAAATTAATTTAAAAACATAAATGGTAAATAAATATAGATTTTAAATATTTAAAGCTATCATTACTCTGATGTACTTAAAAGGCATTCATTTTTCAGTTAATGTGTAGTAAACCTTGACTCATTCTGGCTGCTACAGGGCTCTGAGGTATTGAGAGCAACCTCAGAAACCAGCACGACCAACAGAAGAAATGCATGCAAATGAATGATTCAGGTTATAATCCAAAGTGATGGAAAAGATGGAAACTATTTTTGATATTGGGCCTGCGGTATGATTATGGCTAATCCATGCATACACAGCGAGACATCCTCAGCAGGTATGTGGAGCTAGATATCTGCCAGGCAATAAGCCCAGCACACGTAAAGAACTCAAAAAATTTACTGCTAAACGGGGAATTGTGGCTTTATCTTGCACAGATAAAACAAATATTACAGACATGACTCAACTGCCTGTGGCAGCGCTCAACACAGTCATCACTGCTCCACAAAAAAGACAGAAAATGTGATTTACATCCTTAACCAAAAAATAAAGAAAAGAAAAGGGGGAATAACAGGGACATGGCTGCAGTGAGGGAATAAATCTCCTCCTTTTCCTTTCACCACCCTGAGAAAGCGAGGCCGAAGGGGTACAGTAGCCCTGAATTTCAGCTCCACACTGACAGATTTATCAGAGGAAGGTACTGGAGAATATCTGGGCTCATTTGGAAGCACTGATGGAGATTTGGACTTTTTTTGGTTTGAAATGAAGGGCTGCGCTGGTAATACAGAAATATATAAACAACTCACACATGCACATAAACACGTGTATATTAGCAAAACACCAAAAAGCAGCCATCATGAGCAAAAAAGACTTAATGTGATATGGCTGATATCACTTCGCTAAGAAAATAAAATTCTAATTCACCTTTACTATAAACAGCCTGGGATGCCTGTTTATGTTTAAAACCAAATGCACCGCCTTCTTAAATAGCATGGCTATGGTATGTCTTTCTTGCACTGAATGCTCTGTGCTGCATGGGTCTCTAATAAAGTCTTCATTGTTCACTTTGATGAACACAAGACAGTTTCATAGGTCTCAGTATGACTGTGATTCCAGTTCACTTTATACAGATAATCTCTTGGAGCTTCCTTGAGACAAAGTGATAGTAAATTATGTATGAAGTAAAGACTGCAGAGGAACAGGCAAGGATGAAGGGGTTGGGCGATACATCAAAAATATAACATTATGCTACTTCACAATACATAATATGCAGCACATTATTTAGATGAGGTTTGCAAATGAGTCAGAATGGACAAAATACACCAGCAAAAAAGTATTTTTCAACTAAATTATTTAAGAAACAAGGGGATAAAAATAACTAATAAAAGCATACGAATAACTTATAATCAGCTACTTATTAACATACACTTGTGATCTAATCTGCATAACTGGTCTAAATCTAGGGTTAGGACCTTTATAACACACACAGCTGATTAATGTTCTAGAGGTGCTGATGATACTCAGAAAGGTATACACCAATGTAAATTATCATGATGAAGATAATATCGGGGTAGACAAATACATAAAGATTTATTTTAAATAACTATATGTTTGGGATTCTTAACTTTTACGCATAATTTGAGCTCAGCAGCTGCCCTTTATGTCGTGAAAATTTCATGATGAATGGACCAATAGAAATGCCTCAAAATTGCCTGGAATAAAATCTCTTTAAATGAACTTTAATTATTACATATCTGTACCTTTACATTACCAGTAAATATTAGAGCTACTACTTTGGAAATGTGTTTGTCCTTGAACAGCGATGGTATATACACTGTATTTACAACTAATAATCATGCTTAAATACCTAAAACCAATCAGCTGTTGCTTTGTAAAAAGCAAATATTTATTAAAATCTTTACATTAATAAGAACACTGCTGTTGTGGTGACCATGGTAGTTCCCCCTGTCGAGCTGATCCGCCTGCATCATCCAGAGTAGGTTGTATCTTTAGATACTGTTTAGCCACTGCAGTGATAGCCTCTCGGTGTAGTGTCAGCTTATTTAACACTTTATTTTATTTGAGACTTTATTTCATCGAGCGATACAGGCTACTTTAGCAAGTGAAATAGCATCTATATCGCCAAATGGACCAGCTCAGCAGGGGGACCACCAAACTGTCAATTACAGATAACAAAGTGCAACAAAATCTGATTTGTCTGAGCAGTTCCATGTCCGACCAAATGCGTTTTCTAAATAGGAAAAAACAATGCCAAAAAATCTCCAAAGCAAGCTGTCATTCAGGCCACAGGCTCTTCGTTTTAAACATGACGTGAAACATTATGGCCAGGAGCACTGGGCAATATACAATGTCCACCCCTGCATAACATCATATTGCCCACTCCTGTTTAGTAGGGAGTCTTCTAAAATTCAGAGCACCATTTAAAGACAGACACTCAATTATAATAACTTAATTACCTTTAGCAATATTTTGTTTAAAAAATTGGTTAAAAAAAAAAACTATGTAGCAAGGCAAATATTCAATATGGGAAAACTGAGTGTTTGTGTGTGTGTTGTCAGTATAAATCAAATTACCAATTGTTGCTCCAAGTTCTGGATCAAACATGTCATCTGTAAACCTCAACAGAAGACTGAGAAAGAGGGCATGGGGTGAGAGGTGGGGCAAGACAGAGAGAGCAAGAAAGACAGAGCTTTAGATGGCACATATAATACCAACTTATCTAGTTAGTCTGGTTACTATATTTGATGTCATTTTATTCAATAATAACTGTTAAAGAGTCGACTGAAATGCTACAAGCTAAACAGCAGAGGGTATTTTAAAATGTTTTTCTTTCAACATTTTGGAGAGAGAAAGAAGTTATAAAACTGTAAACAACATACTGCAATTATCTATTAACAGTACTACTTGTTTAGTTGTCTGCCTGAGATTTGATCACCACTTTTCAAATACAAGGCAGTCTGCATATTAGTTTTATTATAACTTTACTGTCAATGTTGTAGCCTACAGCTTTTTTAAGCAGCTCTGTTTATCATTCTGGACACATCTAATATTGCATCAGTGCAAAGGTGTAGACTTACTGTTAAAATTATCTGTACATAGTCATCTGTGGCAGTGTTTACCATCTCTGTCCTGCTCTGACAGGCCTGATTCAGCTCCAGAAGAATTTGATCATAAGTAACAATGTGACTCACTCAGACTCACTAATTGCACATACGGAAATGTGTACAACTGTACATATCATAGTTTTATTTCATAACTTACTGTACAAACTGTACATTGGAAACAGTGCAATACTCGTGTATAATAATGTGCATATTGTGTATGTGTATATATTTAGTCTAATGTATATATATATATATATATATATATATATATATATATATATATATATATATATATATATATAGTATTTAAGTACTACATGGGGGCTACGCACCTACGATTTAAACTAACCTTCGCACCTGAGTAATGTGATATGTGACAATAAATATGATTTGATTTAATTTGACACATTGACTACAGGACTAGAGGTGGCAACACTGTTGTACAGCAAAGCACAAAACACCATAATTTCTTTTTCACACTCTACATTCTTGTTCAATATAGAAACGGTCTGCTGATTCATATGCCACGTTACATGACAAAATTAGAGCTCAGAAATAAGCTCAGTGAAACTGGTCTGGATAACAGTCCAAGTATATTACAAAACTAATTCACTGCACAGATATACACAGATACAGATAGGTAGTTAACCTGAAACTGTAGATTTAGTTTGCATCTACTGTAATCCAAACTATTCTCGCTAATTCCTTGGTCATTTTAAATTTTGATTATTATTATTATTGTTGTTGTTGTTGTAGTTGTTATTTTAAGCTGCATTGTATGACTCCCTAACATTTTTATAGACTTGTGTGTGCTCTCAGGTTATATGCGTGGCTATAAATCATTAAATTGTTTCTCATTGTTTTTAACTGACAGTGTTGCACGTGTTTTGTGTAGCTGTTACTCTTTGTGACACAAATCAAGATAAAAAACATTTTTAGAGCCCTGAGGGGTCACGGCAAATGCAGTTAAAACTCTCATAACTACAAGTAAACAAATAACCATCACGAAGCACCAAAAGTTAAGTTTTGACTCGAAAAGCAACAAAGCAACACATGAGCTCTGCTACAGACGAGCTAACTGAGCTAACCTCGCTAACCTCGCTAATTAAAACATACATCTTAGCGGTCAACACGTCTCGAGCGTGACTGTTCGCATTTTTCATTTTTCTAGAATTGGTTAGTTTGACAGAGAGACAGTGGCAAAACAGTCGATATTTTAGGATTCACGAAACTAATCGTGGAAATGTCTTAGCGGGTTTTAATTACATAGCACTGGCCTCAATTTGCAGCTTTTACTGACTGAACACTCAGAACGAGCCAAAGTCAGTTTCGGTCCCAAACTGTTCACCTGGGGCAACTTCAAACACTGCCAGAAGTTTCTTACCTGGACTTCCCAACTCCACTTTCTCCAATAATTAATATTTTCAGAGTAGTCAGTACTTCCTCGTCCATCCTTAACAAGGTAAAGACACTTTACTGGCTTTAACTGTTAAGAGAAAACAACACCGGCTACTTCAACAAGTCTGTTTGTTGACGTTTCTCACTTCTTCATGAGTTTGAAACTCAGTTCAGTGGTAAACAACATTAAACCCGTGCAGTGCTGCCACCTAGAGCATATAAACGTCATAGCAAATGTCAGAGATACATCCTGCATGAAATGAACAGTTAATCTGTCAGTAGCATAGAGTGCAGCAGTACGCCGTGTTCAAGCTACACTAGCTGATAGTTAAAAAGATTTGTAGACAATTGTTTTCTCCATATGGCGAAAAACATGTGTATTTAAGAGAAACATTTATCAGTTTATAATGTATTTATCAAATAAAATAAAACATTTACATTCTAGTGCATTGAAGTCCTTTCCCAAAATGTATTCTGACAAAATTGGCCAATTATTATATTCACCTTAAATAGAGTTCAAAATAAATTTCTTATAAATCTTTGTCTAAAATACAACCAAAATACAAAATACTTAGTATTGGAACATAGTTGATTTCACATAAACAAGAAGTGTAACACATCATCCAAGTATATTAATCTTTAATCTGTTTTAAAACTTAAGTTATACTAAAATTAAAATGGAATTTCAGCCTAAAGCTAATGTTTATTTTTTATTAGCTATATATATTTTTATTTATATTTATATAAACGTTTCTCATTATGATATCCAGTATGCATGAAAATTCAGTTCATTTTGGCACCACTAGAGGTCCCTGTAGTGTTAGTGATGAATATATGCATATATATGTATATGATTTGCCTAATGTCAGTGATGTGTAGTAGAGCAATAATGTGCAGTTCAGTTGTAGCCAGTCCTGGCTAGTAATTAGGATTTTGCTGCCTGCCATGTGAATGTCAGTGTAAAGATGAATGCAAAATCACATCTAGCTTAAAAGCAGTTTTTATTTCTGTGTACAGCCTTTTGTCGCCAAGTCAGCAACAGTCTCTCAGAAAAAAAGTACAATTGAGTAGAAAAATCCTTAAGGTGCAAAACAAAACAAGTTGCTTTTCATTAGTTTTTAACTCCCACCCCCAGCCCCACGCCCACCCCCACCCTGCTTCCCTCTCCGCCCGTTTCCTTTAAAGCAATACATATAACTGTTCACATTTTATGACATCATGCCTGTTAGTTTGTGTGAGGGAGAGATGTTTTAGGGCTGTCAGCAGAAACGCCTCTCCACAACTCTTCATACTGTTCTGCCGGCCTGAATGGTTAAAAGGTTTAGCCAGGGGTGGGAAAAGTACAGAGAAATTATACTTGAGTAAAATTACTTTGTTTGTTCAGAACATTACTCAATTAAAAGCGGAAGTATGGATATACTATATAAATTATACTATATACTATACTTTAGTGAAAATCTAAAAGTATCCATATTTAAATAAATAAACCTAAATAGTAAAAGTTTTAAAAAACACATGATACTTTGTGGTGTAGTTACTAATGGGAGGAAACAGTCCTCACATAAAGGCTAGTTAGCATAGTTGTGGGCAGTTTTATTTTATATTGATATGAATATGACTGGATGTTTTAACAAAAAAAAAAAACATTAAGATGTGCAGAAACTCACAAGAAAAGAGAAATATCTCATGGCCTTTGAGATTTGTTATCAGTACTTTGATGGTCTAAATGAAAATGTAAGAAGTAAAAAGTACATTTACAAAGTACAAGTATATAATTTCAATAACTCTTGAGAAAACTACAAAACTTCCAGAATAATACTTAAGTACAGTAATAAAGTACAGTTCCTCAAGTATTTTCCACCCCTGGTTTTAGCATCTCTGATTCAACAGGCTGGCCAGTCAAGGAAGGGTGGAAGAGGTATTGCAGAATGGCCAAAGATATGTTTAGCTGACTTCAAGCTTGAACTAGACATTACTCAAATTCCCACAAGGTCTTTCTCTATGAGACAAACCCAGCGAAACCGGGTCTTCATCCAACACTGACTCTTCTCCTCACACAAGCGGACAGGACTAGCTCTGGACTGCAGACTCTTGGGACTGAAATCAATGGACATGAAAAAGGAAGGAAGATATTTACACTTGCACTCAGGACTAAAATGTCTGCTTGTACATAGGTTTAAAATATGTAGCCTCAAATCAAAATGCTAAGCTTCACTGCATGAGAAACCAGCCATCTATGGAAAGTTATAAATGTGCCTCAAATATGAGCATGCTGGCAGTAGTCTCTACGAATCTGTCAGTCCTTATTTCTATATTAAGCACCAAGTCTTGCTCCTTAATCTTGCTGGATTAAGAGTGAAGAGCAAGAAAAAAGCATGACTCAAAAGCACCAACATCAGGGAAACAGATATACAGTATGCTCTGCTTATGACCACACAGCAAAACGGACCAGGCTGCTAACATGTTACTGCTAAATGCCAATGATTCCATAGTGTATTTCCAGGTGAAATGTAGCTAGGATAATAGAGCAAGTGTTCATTTAACAATGTCTGCATGTGAGCACATAGCACGGTTCATAAAATTCTAAATGCAGAACCACTGTAGGATTCTTCAGAGGAAAGCTATCTTACACAGTGAATGAATTTCACATATGGATGACAGTTTTATTTACAGTGCTTCTTTCTCTGTCAGTGTACTGATGGGTTTGAATTGAAGCGTCCCATGATAGAGAAAGAGGGGCTGTTTCAGTGCAGTGGCTGTTAGAGCATGGCTGCAGTGCGTGTTCTGGTGAGCGTTAAGGAAAGTGAAGCGGGGTTTGTGATTTGCACCACGCCCTGGCCTTGGCTGACCTTGTCCCTATGGGTTGCTGTCACCATAGCAACCACTCCAGCCAAAAGTCTGTCCAGACACACAGAGGGAGTAGAGACTGGATGGCGGCTTCGATCCCTACGGGACTGAGCCAGTGCCCATATCCTTGACACCATATTTAGATGACACTCATCCTTGACTTTAACATGAAGTGCTCCTCTACACTACATTTCGTTTCTTTATGACTGAAATCAATAACCAGAAAACTTGGAAACTTGAACTTCCTGTTGAAAGTGTTCCCGGTTAAAACCCAGTTAAAACAAACAAACAAAAAAAACTTGATAAAGGCAGGGCCTCGCATGAGGCCAAATAAAATGCTTTAAAGCTTTAAATATCGACACAAACAAACACAGAAAGAGGCTTGTATTTACTTAAACATTTACAAATAAATATTTAAAGGTACTTTTTCTAACTTCCAATGATGGCTTCTAATAGACTCAATGAAGTAGGAAATGTCATAGATCACATAAGCATAGCTGAGATCAATGGCTGAGCTAAGATTGCAGCTATTGTGCAGTTTGAGAAACTGGTGGATGTTGGGAATGGTTCAGTTTTTTTTCTGTTCAGTCATCAACAATATACTTCATGTCCCACAGTATTGATCGATTGCAAGCTGGTGAACTGTTCTCAGTCTGTCCTCATTATTTCCTGCACCATGTTGTGTCTATGCTTCAGTCAGTTCACTTTCAACAACCCTTTCTATATGCACAAATTTAAATAAATATATACAGGAAACCTGAAATATAAGTGGAAAGTAACTGTTTATGTGCCAGATTTCATCTCCCATTCCTGCAAAAGACAAAAGAAAGCATACATTAGTATACAGACACAGGGGGAGCATAAAGAAGTTCATTAGCATGCTGTAGTATGTGTTTAACTGCTATGTCAAAAGCTTGACTGTTGCAGTGCCAAGCCTATTGTACTACAGCCTACCAGGGTATTCAGACAAAATATATAATATTCCATAAAGGTTTCCTTAACTCCTTAAAATCCCAGGCTTATTACATAATAAGGCTTATTATTCAGTAACTACAGGGACTTCAGTGCAAACTGGCTGAGCTACTCTTAGGTTATAGAAGTGTGTAATAAAACTGTGGGCTGGCTGGTGGGCCCTGGCCATTTAAGGGGTTAACCTCAACACATTCCTTAATGCACAGTTGCCTATTAAGGAATGTGATGTCATTTAAACTCTGATGATCAAACTGAAGATGTTCAAGGATAAAACAAGACACAAGAAACTTCATAGGGAACAAATAAGTGCTGCACATATAGACCCCTGAACTTAATATTTGTGAAAGCATCTTTGGCTTTCAGCTTACAGTTTCAAGTTCTTCTGGATATGCTTTGCACAGAAATGTTTCTCAATCGCCCTTTACAAATTTGCACAAGCTTTCCTAAGTTTGGCCAACCCTTAGGGACATAAAGTTTCAAACACCACATATTCTCAATGGGATTCAGATCAAGGCCTTGATGGGGCTACAAAAACATTCTGTTGTGTCTGAATCTACTCATGTTAATAGCAACGTCTCAGGGACTTATTTCACCTTCACATCGTACCATGCTTTCCCCCAAGATCATTCATCTGCATTTTTGAAAACTCTAGGTGGGATTTGAGTTGGCAGTGGCTTCTTCATGCCACCCACTGAAGCCAGCCTTGACACATTTTTGCTATGTCAGCCAGCAACATCTGTCTTTCAAAGCTGTTGTTGGCCTCACAAGGGCATCTCTTATAGTTTCCTCATGGCCCAGCAGCTTGGTCTTATCTGAACAGTCTAATCTAGAAAAAGGGATATTTCTGCCTTTTCATTTTGGAGTAGATGATGCACACAAGGATGTTCAGAGACTACAGTTCAGTACTCTTACTCTGATCTGTTTTTTTTATTTTTTTCTCTGACTTGCTTTGTTTCTCTGTCTTCATGCTGACTTTTTCAGTCAATTGTTTTATTCCATATAACCTACTATACCATATTCCATATAACTACATCCACACCTACACTTTTTTCGTTTTTAATTTTTTCTCACAATTTCACCATGACAGCTGTCATTTACAGTGTGTTAATTTAGTGATCAATAGATCAAAAGAAATGGTCCAAAATTATTGGAAAAACATCTTGTTCCATTAACATCCACTCAAATTTAGGATTTTTTTTCCTTTCTGGTAAAAAATGAAAATATGAGGTTTTGCAGTAACAGTAACAATATAGTCTGTACTTGTATAGTATATCGGTATTGTGTATTTCTTTCATGCACTCTGTTATACATTAGTACAGTATACTTTACTGTACTGTATATATCGTACCATGTAATACTGAGTTCATTATGGTTTTCCATAAAACTGGTCTCAAAACGTATGCAGTGTTATGCATTGTATACACCTAAAACTAATGGTTCTTCAAGGGTTCTTAAGTAAAGAAAAATGGTTCTATATAGAACCAAGAACACTAAAAGAACCATTTGCATCATTAAAGGCTTCTTTGCATTGTGAAAGGGTTCTTCAGATTGATGGAGAATATGCAAAAGTGTTCTTCTGTTGTTACAAACTTGACATCGTAACAATAGATGAGCCATATTTGGTGCTATATAGAACCCTTTGTATAGTTTTATAAGTGTGTAGGTGTGTCTGCTGCGTATGTGCAACAAATCTCACCTTGGCCTTTCTGAGGACATGTCCCCGTACTGGAGAGGCTTTCTGTGGCCCTTGGCGCCGCAGTAAGGAGGCGCTGTTGACTGGCAGTGAACACGTCTCGGTGTCACTGGTGTCACAACTGGAGATGGGCGAGTTATCCATCATGCGCTTTATCAGCGCTGGAGACTGCACACACAAATTACACATTTCTAACATACTAATAACAAAAACAGACACAATTAAAGTGTCTTCAAAACTGTCCAGTATGGACCAGATGGTTTAAAGGGCACAGTGGAGGCATCAACAAGCTCAAGACAAAAAAGAAATGAAAATTCAATGATGAAGATATAGCAGTGTTAATGAATGAAGTTCTTCCAAATATCTACAGGGATGTAATTCTACTCCAGCTTAAAAACTGTGAAGCAATAACAGGCTGCACATGTATATTGCAGCATATTTTGTGCTGTGTCTTCTCACACATGTACATCTGACCCTGAGAGCTGAATGGTGTCATTCTGTTAGTAAATATTCTTTCATCTCATGTAACAGGATTGTGCCTCCATTTAGCCACTGTGTCTACTGCCATTGTTAGGAAGTCTTAAAGGCAGAGAAAATTATATGCAAAGCTGGGCAGCACTTGTTGGTCAAACATCAATAAATCAAGCTGAATATCAGCCACACTTCCTATTTCTGCATGTAATTTTTGTTGGACCCTCCCACAATCCTCCCTGAACTTACCATAGAGATAATTTAGTTAAAACAGTAAGTTACTAAAGTATTCTCAACCAAAGAGTCCGTGCAGCATTGGCTTTTCAGGCCCACGTGTGGAAACACGCTGGTTATTATTCAGTCAAACCGGCTTATATTACCAACTACAAATGTAATGAAAATGAAATGACTTTTAGTTCTGGTTTATGGCTCTGGAGATGGGTCGAAAACAACAACCTGGCATGATATATTCAAAAACTCAGCAGGCATATCTGACTAAAATATGTCCACACATGTTGGGGCACGTCTTCAGATGGGTTTGACTGGCTCAGTCCCTGATTTTGCAGTCTAGTCCTGCTGTTGCATATTGGATACTACACTGTATACTGTTGATATATGAGGACTAGCATGCAGTATACAGTATATCCTGGTGCAGTATGCACTATACAGTACACAGTATGCTGTTTCAAACACAACCTATCATTATGGTACAAAAGATGGCTTGCAGACCTGTGGACTGGAGCTGCTGGTCTTGGGTTCGATGGTCAGGCCGAGAGTGACCCCACCATTCAAGGCCTTCTTCAGGCTCTCCTTCACCTCCGTCAGCTCCAGCTCCAAGCTCACCCGCTCATCTTCCTTCATCTTACATTCATCCTCCACTTTCTTCAGCCGCTCTGTCAGAGAGGCCTGGGAGCGCTTACCTGGAGTGAAGGAGATTGGAGAATTTGTCTTGCCTTTGTACAGTATATTTAGGCCTGTTTCCAAACACTTACAGTAAAATAACATTTAACATTTAACATTTAACTTAACATTTAAAATTTTAGCCATTCTATGAAAATCTGTTATCAATTTCACATATGAATTTTTAATACTCACATTCCTATATTACTATTTAAAAATATTTTCATGAATATTTTCAGATTGGATTTTTTTTTTTGCTTACGTAAATTTGATATGGAATTAAGACATGTTTGCCAGGCTTCTTAGACTCTTAGACATGGATTATGCCTAGTCTAGGACTTAATTCTAACGTCAATGGTGATTCACCATTGAAAAGCTTTTTTTATCCAGGATTAAGCTTAATCAGAGTCTAGGAAAGCAGCCCATTGTGCTATTGTTCTCACCGGTGCTGTTCTCGATGGCAGTGCGCAGGTCTCTCCTGTCCTTCTTCAGGTGAGTCAGACGGTTACGAATCTCTTGCTTTCTTTTCAGCAGCTCTTCCTCTTTTGACTGGAGTTTCTTAGCATCTGCCTCTACTCTGTTCTTTCCATACTTGTACTGATCCGCACCTGCCAAAGTTCATCATTAAACCACATCATCAATGTATCCCTTTCAATGTTACTAAATTTAGAAAGGCTTTCTGTTTCATCTGAGTGAGCTTATAGTAAACATTGACAGCATTTTTTTCATGTTCAGCACTAAAAGACAGACAGAGTATTTACGACATTCAAATATTTGAGTGGCCGGTAGAGCAGACCATTAAATGGTTTGAGAGGAAGTGGAGATGCTCTGAGTGAGCGCCTGTCTCCGGTGGTGAATTTGGGGTGACTGAGTTTACTAAGCAGTATTAGGGCCTGTCCACACAAACCCCGGACTGCAATTTCCACATTCCGGCATTTTCCACATATTTGTGCGGCTTCTTTTTCCTAGAAAGAAATCGTTGGTGGAATAGCTGGGAGAACGTGCGCAGACATGATGTCTGCATAGGTTAGCATTTGCAAATTCTGCACTGCATTAACAAAATATGGGCTAATTTCAGGATTATGTTCTCTCTACGACACTTGCTCTCAAGTTCAAATATGGCTTTCTTACTTGAATTGTTGCGCTTGACTGGTAGCGACCCACTGGTTCCATTGGCCTTCCTGACCTGGTTCTTGTCCAGTTTCTGTTTGGCAGCCACTCCATTGGTGGTTGCGGCTTTCTTCCCCTTCATCTGATTGACAGAGAGATGATGTCAGATGATGACAATTTAAAGGTAAAGTCATATTTTTTCAGACAGAGGCAAAACCTTTAGGATATGCACCACAATTGTTCTAAATTATGCAGCTGAAGAATTACTGTAAGCATGCACAGTGATCAAGTATTCTCAAATTTACCTGTATCTTAGTGTAAAAAATTAGCAAATAAATAAATTCATAAATAGATAAATGCATCTACTATAATGTTCACTAGACCAAGTAATATAAGACTAGTTGAGCATAAAGTGTTGTAAAAAAAGTGACAAATAAAAAGGCACAAAGCAGAATTGAATCCACAGAACAGCCTAATTAGTTACTAAACTGCACTTATGATGCTGCTTTGCTAATGATCCACAAACAATCTGCTTTAATCTACCACATTAATCATTTTAAGCCTCAGCCCAGACAAAGATTACACTGGGGAGTGATTAGCATCTCTCAGCATAATGTGCCTTGCGGTCGGGGGTGCAGGGCTAACACTACATCGGACTGAGAACAGTAAGAACAACATGGAAGTATCAAAGGCTTCCTCTGAAACCACATGCAGCGCTACCCCACATGTTCACTTCTGAGGACTTAACCTCGAGGGGACATTTCTACTGTTATTTGCTGCCAGCAGTGCTTCAAGCATGACGACGTGCTGCTAATTCTATTTGTGGCCAGTAGAGTTTTATACACATCTCAATTGCAGTATAATTTCATACACGACCACACACACATGTACATGGACATCACGCAGTGCAAAAGCATAGCTCTGTGAAGATGGGTGGTACAATTTCAGACTTAGAAGTTCCCAGTCATTACACAACTCAATCATCAAAGCTCTCAATCTTAACAAAGAAGGGAATCTAACTAATCAGATGTTGTGAAGAGATCTGGGTCAATTTAAGTAAGTCCCTGAATTGACCATCTTAGATTTGCTTAATACTTCCAGCATATGTCTTTCATTCTGCCAATTAAATAATTTGCAAATTGACTTGTATCTTTAGTAGTTTCTGAGAAACAAAAAAAATGGGTGCAGCTTTAATTTTTGGCTAAAAAAAGCTAAGTTATTGATTTTTTTTTTATTTACAGTGTCTTAAATACTGAAACAACATACAGAGAGGCATGTTTGTCAAACTTTGGTATCTATAACTCACACTGCAGTGCACATTTGCCAATAAGATGTTTGTCTTGTAGTAATACAGACATACTCATACTTGTACACATTAGGATGAATACCTCTGCTCTGAATCCTGTTTCTCCCATGACATCTTGATACAGATCTTGGTACAGATATTGATAGAAAAACATGCACAGCAAAGCCTCAGAATGTTAGAAAGTGGGGTTATTCAGCAAATCTATGTTAGTCACCTTAGAGTTAGCATTAGCAGTGGAGGAAGAAAAAGAAGAGAGGACTTTAGAGGAGACAGGTGTGTTGTAATGGCTTGGTTTAGGTGAATAGCAAGCTGCCAGTTTGGGGGAAGGCATGTTCTCATAGAGATCTGCATTCTCATAGTGAGCCTCCTCCGCCCAACTGCATCCTCCAGAGCCTGGGGAGGAGTAGTGCAGATCTGGCTCCTTCTGAGAGGTGGAGCATGCAGAAAGCAGCAAAGAAGAGAGGAGAGTAGACAAGAAGAAAAGAAGATAGAAGTTAAAAGCAAGCAGAATTAGTAATTGTAAAATTGGAAGATTAAGCCTGAAGCTTAACCATGAATTTGCATTACAGTGACGTGTTTCAAATGATTATTCACAGAATTCAGCAACAAACTTTCGTTATTAGTGAGTTTTTAAACCTTATGTCCACTCACTGTCCACTCTATAAGACACATATGCCTTGTTGGTCCACCTTGTAGATGTAGAGTCAGAGACCGTAGCTCCTCTATTGCTGCACAGTGTGTTAGTCATCCTCTAGTCCTTCATTGGTGGTCACAGGATGCTGCTACAGGCCCTGCCTATATTTTAGGTTAGTGGGCTATTCTCAGTGCAGTGGTAACACTGAGGTGTTTAAAAACTCGTACCAGCGCAACACACACTAACACACCAACACCACCTCAGTGTCAATGCAGTGCTGAGAATGATCCACCACCCAAATAATACCTGCTCTGAGGTGGTTCTGTGGGGGTCCTGACCACTGAAGAACAGGGTAAAATGTGGCTAACAAACTATGTAAAGAAACAGATGGACTACATTCTGTAACTGTAGAACTACAAAGTGTACCTAAAGATAAGTGGAGCTGATAAAATGGATAATGAGTGTACTTATTAGAAGGTGTACTTAATGAAGAGGCTTTTTGGTGTATATGTAGTATGAGAGAGTGTAAATGTGAGCCCACATATGAGCCCATGTACTTAACAGGTTAAAGATCAAGATTGATACAGTCTCCAAACAATGTGTGTGTGAAAGCACACAGGACGGATGGTTGTGGGTGTATGAAGCCATACCGATCCATTAATGCAGGGGACGTCATCATAGTGCAGAGCCACTCCCGAGGGGCGAGCGTAGCCGTTCACTGGATTATCCAGATATGGGTTTGGAGATACAGCACGCTTACTGGTGAAACTGAGAATAAATTTGTATTACTAAAAGCTGCCATAAACACTTAAAGACAGGGAATGATCCAGGGAAACATCTATCACAAAGCCCACTATGTTCCAAATATATAAACAGAGCCAACTAATCCAAAAATACAGCCAATTCATTTATTTAACAAATTAAGCGTGATTAAGGGTAGTATTAACCGAACATGCTACTTTACTTAGACTCAGGTCCTGTTACTTACCAGAAGGACTGTTTGGCCAGCTGAATGACATTGGCAGTGGTCTCCACATCTATGTAGTCATAGTGCAGTGCAGCAGGATCAGTGGTGGAACCTGTCTCTGCCAGCAAAACTCCCAACCAGCGACCCATACTCTCAGAGGAGGAGGCCTGAGAGAGAGGGAGATCCAACATTAATGAAAGAGTGAAAATAAATTTACATACAATTTGGATCAAAACTAAAAAAGCATGGAGGATTCCATAAGAGAATGCAGAGGGAATGAGTACAATAGTGAGCTAAAGTAGGACCGAAAAGGATAGGCTAGAGCACATATATATGACAAATCTGTGAGATCACACTCTAAGCTTAGGATGATAAATAGTAACAATGATAAAAATAATAATAATAATAATATTTTTTATTTATATAGCATACTGGTGGCAGCTCAAAGTGCTTTACAGACAGGTGATAAAGCTTAAAAATAATACAAGAAATTATAAGTATTCATTTGAAACCATATAAGAAAATGCCACATCAAATTAAGTGATAAATACCATGAGACATAAAGTTTTAATTAAATGCTAAGTTAAAGAGGTACTGCAGATCACATGCTTGAACATCACAGATAGACACTCTGTGATATAAGCAGGTAGGTCACAGATCAGTGTCCATCCCTGGTCCTGAAGAGCTACCTTCCTGCAAAGCCTAGTTCCAACCACAATTTGCCACAACAGCTCCAGCTAATCAACCTCTCCCCAAGTCCCAGTTTCACTGAATCAGACATATTAGAGTTAAGTAAGGGGCAGGGAAGCTTACTGGATACAGGTTGAGACTAAACTTTGCAGGAAGGCAGCTCTGAAGGACCAGGGCTGGAGACCACTATCATAGATCCTTGCAGATATCCTAGGTGCATCATATCGGTTTGGCCTGCCCTGTTTGCACAAGCTGCTCTGGACAGATAATCCTGCTGTAAATGTGAAATGTGATGCAGCTCTCACCTCCAACACAGCCACTTCCTGCCCATTCCTTAGCAGCCTGAAAGCAAACGGGTGTTTGGAGTCCAGACCTGGAATGACCTCACAGCCCCGCAGGGGCAGCGAGGCCATGTGTGTCTTCAGGTCCTCTCGGTCCTTATGCAGTAACAGCTGGTTATCCTTCAGCCGGCACCACCTCTCCCTCCAGCGGTTATTGGACAGCACATTCAGATAGCCTGACAGTCAATAAGAAACTGTCAATCAGAACTGTCGACTTTCTAAAGCAGCAAAAAAAAAGCAACCACATACTGGCACACATAGAGCAACTGACCTATTTTCTACCCTCTTAAATCTTTCACTCTGTTTCTGCCTTATATTCTACACCTCTACTTAAATAATCAGATTTCTTAATTCTTTTCTTGCATTTATTATATGTAAAGAATGTCACCGAACAAAAATTCCTAGTTTTGTATTTTAAGCAGGCAAACAAATGCTTAGGAATGCAATCCACACTTCATTCATGATATATGAACATCCTAATGAAGCAAAAATGCCCTTAGCAATCAAATTTCCCCTCTCAATGTGCCCACAGGGGCAGATTTTACTGAGTTAGATGGGACATCAGCAGTCTCTGAATGTGTCATCAACAATATGTTGTGATAAGATGGGTTAATGTTTTTCTCCAGTTCTTATTCACCAAACCACAATTCTACTGTCATCATAAATTCCCAAAGCTCACTTCTCCCTAACCAACCTAACCCAAAGCCAGCTTTACAAAACCTCCTCTAGGCTCACCACATGTTGGGACGTCCTCCTCAGCGGATGACGTCTGCTCATCAGTGGATGGTTTCTTCTTCCCCAGGCTGATGATCTTGGTGATTTTCTTCCCTGCTCCCTTTCCTACTGTGCCCTTCTGCTCAGATTTACTGCTCTTCTTCCCTTTAGCTGTGGCAGAAACAAAGTGTGAATGTTTTTAACATACCAGGCAGGAATACAGGACCTCTAAGACCTCAGTGTACTGCAGTTTCTGACTCTGGATGTCAAAAATCACAAGACAGTACTCATCAATATCTTTACTTCTCAAATAGAAGACAATTTTAACATTCAGAATGCTTCTTTTTTGCTATTCTCTTTTTTGTCAAGATTCATTTTTCTCTGTTTTCAATGTTGTCTCATACTTTGTCTCTGTTGCTGTTAAAAGCACTGTTGTCAATGGAACTGACCATGTAGTCTTACAGGAGCCTCAGTGTTAATGTGTTCTATGTTCTATAGGGATGAAAGAAAGAGATAAAAAGGGGAAAAAAGAATATTTATGAATTTGTGCTTATTACAACACCTTTACACTTTTAATCTGGACTTTCTCACTTTCTCTCTATCTATCCATCTCTCTCTTTTACCCCTCTTCTTTCTCTCTCACTTTTTCTTAACTCTCTTCTCTCTTGTCTCTTTCTCTGCGCTCTCTCTCTGTCCCCCTGTCTCTCTCTCTTGTTTTCCTCCTCCCATCTCTCTTTTTATTTCTGTCTCCCTGTTACTTGCAAGTTAGTGACTTGTTCCCACCTCTCTCTCTCTCCTCTCTCCCCCTCCCTCTCTTTCTCTAAATTAATAAACAGAAGCACAGTTTTTTCCCATAGCTGTTAGCGTGTTTTTTTTTCAGACTGCTCTGAAGTGTGACTTGTGGTCGTCTGCTACCCAAGATCCCATTGAGAGAAACAGCAACGCAAAGCCTAATGACAAGACTGTGCATTCCATTCAGAATTAAATATGGGACTGAAAGGCAAAGTTAAAGCACTCTAAACTGATTCAAGCTAAAGCAAGAACCATCTCCCATGCTATGTGTGCCTCTCTCTCACGCTTTTAGAGGGGCCCCAGCCTGAGCCCATGCATGTAGAAATAGTGAAGGATGAGGCCGGGACACTGAAACCATCAGCGATCAGGGCGTTCAGCTCTGCTGAATCTCCACTGAAGAAGAGTACATCTGTGCTGGCGACACCTTTAATTAAAGCTAAGCTCATGCGTACCCAGAGTCCTCTAGAGTTTCCCCTCTGCCGCACAGCAGCTCCAGGCCTGAGGCCGAAACCAGAGACACAGATGCAAAAGCAATTCCCCCCTTTTACAGGACTTCTATTGCATTTCCCCTATTTTAACATGAGGGAAAATTCTGTGATCAGGCTAATTTGATTCCACGTAGTCTGAGCACTTACACGAGCTGGAAAGAATGTGACTAATTTAATTAATCCACACAGTTGTTTCTTTTTTTGTGCCTCCTCCTCTCCTCATCAAAGTGAGCGTGCTGGCAATGAGCAGTTGTGAGGTAGGCCCATCTGGAGCGCTCATTACAGTCAGAGACGTGAGATCAGATAAGAGTGGCAGGCAAGTTTAATGTTTCTCCATTCAACCAAAGTGCTACCAGACTCTACTGGGGACTGTAGGCAAATGTGTGATAGTACTCCAGACCAAGAGAGGGCGATAGTCACTTTCAGACAGTTGAACATCATGGGTATAGGCATAATAATAATAATAATAATAATAATAATAATAGTGATTATTATTATTATGATTATTATTATTAAGACTAGAAGAGAGAATCTAGGTTTGAAATCAGAAGCCAGATATTTCAAGAGGTTAATAACATTTTTCCTCGCCTGTTGGTGCATGGCAACATTAGCAAAAATCACAAAACATTTTAGAGAGTCATAATTTTGATAGATTACAGAAAAGCAAAAAATATCTTCTATTTAATATGAAATGATGAATATGATCAGGGAATGACAAGATAAAAAAGATCAATTTGTCCTTATAAGCATAGTAAAACCTCCAGTCCTACAGAGGGCGATAGTTGCATTTCAAACTGCTGAAAATCTTAAGCTTTCAGAGGTGAGGTGATCACAAATAAGGTCCGATTTGACCAGCTAAAATGATTTAAAAATTTTATTTAACCACACAGTAAAACCTTAAACCCACACCTGTGAAGGGGCTAAAAATGACGTGACATTTCCTGGTCCTTCATAAGTTATCCACAGCAGTTCATCTGTTACAACTTTTGTAAAAATAATGCTGCATTAATATTGGTTTGTGGCTGTGAGACAAGAATATCAATCACAAACACTAATCATGCTGGCTGTGATCATGCAACAGTCCTGGAATTCACTCCCATTGGGCAATTCACCCCCAACTTGTCTGAAGTAAGATAGCGCTGTGTCTTAAGAGAGGCTGAAAAAAGGTTTTGAAATTCCACAGGGCTGAAGCAGATGTCCAGACAAGTTTAAATGGAGGCTTAATCCCTGGCCAAGACAGAGCGCAGAGCAACGAATGAATAAATAAATCCCATTAGCTTATTTAAAGAGCATCTCTTTGTCTTGCTTTTGGCATCATGGCTTGTGGAGGAAGCGCTTACATCAAATAAACATGGAGTTCATCAAAATCTGCTAGTACATATTTAGCTCATGAGACAGGCTTAAAGGTGTCTCTGAGAATTACGACACGCTTTAAATCTCAGAATTTAGGGTGGTTGTCTGAGTTTAGACAGATAACTGGTATTTAGACAAACAGAATTTAGAGGCCTTAAATTTGCCCGTGACTGTAAATTACGTTCTTCAGTGTCATATTAAATTATGTTCATATGTTCAAAATAAGGCTCCATGTTCATTCCAAAACCAAAGGATGACACAGATGTGGTCGGGGATATTAGGTTATAGGCTAGAACCTAGTTTAGATTATTGTGAACAGAGATTTTTGGATATGGCTAGCATAAATGCTTCACTATATGAACAAATATTGCAAATTTGCCAATATTTGTACATATACTGCCAATATTCCATATTGCAATTATATCTCTACATCTAATTTACAGTACATTAGAAATATATATAACTTACAATATATTAGGAATACATTAGTGAATCCCTGATGTGGCATGGTCTGGCCTGCACTGATGTGACATAAAGTCTGGCCTGTGTTATTTTGATCAAAATGATTTACACTTTGTTGGATCATGTGAATGCCTTGGCTCATCTAAACAACCACAGAAAAAAAACTAGAATTGAGGTTGGTCAGGATGCTGACAGCACGTAAAACACATTTAAACATTGGTTAGAGGGTTTATTTGCATAGTGCAGCCTTCTGCGAATTATTATTATAAAGGTCAGTATGAGAATAATGATTAATTAATGGCAAATGTTCAAAAAATAAAAACAAAAACAGTTCTGATATATTATGCAGCTCAGTGTGAGGAATGCAAAGTATCACATTTGTAAACATGGACACTGGTAGATTGGCTTACCTGGATCTTTTCCATCTGTGATGCCATTTTCATGGCTGGGCTCACCATCTGAACTGGGTCTGTCACAGGACAACTTCTGCAAGAGCAGAGTGAAAAGTCTGAAAATCTAGCAAAACTACATCTCTGTCCATTCACAAAAGAGCCAGTACACATTAAACACACTGTGCAGAAACATCTGCTGAGCCTTAAACACATCAGCACATTCATATATATGAATGGAATGAAAATCCAGAGACACAAATGCACACTGAGACACATGCATGTACAAACACATATATATACCAAGAACTGTATAGAAGCATACAAACAAACAAACATATAGTACCATGTAAAAGTCAGAGACCACCCTTCATTTATTTAATATCCAGCTTAAACAGCCATTCAGTACAAGATATTCATTTTATGGGGATATTTCTAAGGAAACTAGACATAAGATAATTCACTTTCATAATGAAAGAGAAAGTCAAAGAAAATAAGTGAAAAAGAAACAGGAGTTTCCAAAACTGGAGGTCAGATAAAAAAGAAAATGGTACTCCAAACAACCTTAAAGACCTGGTAGACCATCAAAACTGTCACCATGAGGAAAACTTGCAGTACTTGTAGCTTTCATTCTGAGAGAGGAGACAATCAAGCACATCTCTTGCTTCAGATCTGAAAACATCCACGTATTCTGTCCATCCTTCCACTGTAAGAAGACAACACTATGGGTCCGAAAGGATGCAGCCATTCTTGAGAAAAGGACATAGACAATAAAGAAGCTGCTGGTGATCTCAGAATAATGGACTGACCACCCCACGGTCCAGACGGAAACATAGGTGAATGTGTTTGGAATTATTTGGATTGTGAGAAGCAAAAAGTGCAACCAACTTCTAAGACTGAACTTTGGAGGTGTGGAAAAATACCTGCAAATTTCTTTGAAAAACTGAGACACACTAAATACTGAAAAAATGACATTATATTCAGTTGTTGAAGCTTCTGTATAGTTTTCTGTTTAATATATGCTCTGCTTTATGTGATGCTCAAAAATGGGTAATTCTACTTAATTTCCAGGCTGTTTTGACTTGAAGCTAGATAAATAAAGGGTGGTCTCTGATTTTTGGACAGTACCGTATAAACATAAAAACACACCTACTGAAATACACAGCCACAAATAGCACTGCACACAACGTACTTTCTTCCCAACCCACATGCCCGTGTGCATAAACATACACGTACATACACACCCATACATATACACACAAAAGCACATGGATGTTAAATTCTGCTTTTTGCTCAAACACAAACTTAAAGAGCATCTGTTCAGTATTAAGTCTGAATAATTACAGCTTACGCATGCTGTGCCAGTTTAAAAGGTGCCTGTCATTAAAGGTATTAAAATCCCTTCACACACATATCACATATACTTGTGTACACACACTAATGCATTAAAAAACATAAAAAGTATGTTTGGAGAAGAAAAGCAGAAGGCAGAACTGAAGTGTACTCTTTAAATGTGATAAGATCATTTTTCTTCCCATGCCCATTTGACACTGCCAAATGAACACATCTTGCTCTGGTGAGATGGAATTTGGCACACGTCTGCAGTTTTTATAACTTTCAACCTCTTGGCAGTGCAGCCACTGTGTAGGCATATGGAGGGTTAGGGCTGCATAGATTCCAAAGTGTGGTAAAGCTGTCAAACACATACAAACACGCACAAAACAAGGCATGTACCTTCATGGAAATACAGCAAAAAGCAAGTACAGCATACAGGCGTAAACAGGATGTAACCATACACCTACAAGCATTTACAACTGGATACAAAACACACCTACACAGCCACACAAACACAGACTTACACTAGACAAGGGCGTGTGCCCATTAAACACATACAAAACATGAAGCCTGAATTCTAACCTTACCTTTTCCAGCTCGACTTTGTGAACAGGAGATCCAGAAACTGCTCCATCAGAGTCCACTGCTCCGTTTCCATAAGCGCACACCTCCCTCATCACCTTATACAGAAAACATGACACAGAATCAGGATGCTGCATCGCACACATTTAAGGTGAACTTCATGCAATTTTCCCTTCACCCTAATGTAGTCAGTCAGCTGAGACATGTTTGGTGTCTTTTTTGGTTTTCTCCTTTAGTTCTGTACATGAGCTACAAGATGAATGTTGCTAACAAGTAGTGATTATCTACACTCTTAAAGAAGACTGCTCTTCAAGGGTTCCTTAGTAAAAAAAATCCTATTTAAAACCATGAACACTCAAAGAACCTTTTGCATGACTAAAGAGTTCTTTGCAAAAGAAAGTCATCAAAGGGTTCTTCAGACTGATGGAGAATGAGCTTTTATATAGAATCTTTTTAAAACTGTTCTATATAGGACCCAAAAGGGTTCTTTTACTGTTATAATGTCAAGCTTGTATCAATAGAGAAACCCTTTTGTGTGCTATACAGAACTATTTTCAAAAAGGTTCTATATAGAAACATCTCTATCCAGCACTAAATAAGTCAATACAACCTACAGATATATTTTTCTGTTACAACTTTAAATGTAGCTGTTTCCTGGTTTGCTTATGGGCCTAGACGGCACAATATAGCAAGAATACAGAGATTTGAACAGTTTATAGGTAGAAATCACTACCATGCCATGCACAGCAAGTGGCAAAAATAGACACAAAGCATAGTTTTGCGCTTTGTGTGTGTTACTGCTGCAATACAACAAGCTGCCAGTGTTAAAAGCTTTGATTAACATAGGTATTTACTATAAGTGGCACTGTGTACCACATCAAGTTGTGCAGTTACTGTGTTTTGTGTGAAATGGGCCCTTAGTCTTGTAGCTTCAGAGCAGTATAAAGTATACTATACTATAAAGTATAAAGAGGCAAACTTCTGACACCAAATATATAGTGGCTGGTCAATGACTTAATGTAGTGAGGGGAAAAATTGTGTATTCTACCATTTAACATCTAATATTGACGAGTGTTTCACAAAAGGGGAAGGCATATGAAATAGATTGCAGCCTATTTGAAATCTATTGAGATCAAGACAGTTTTGATTCAGAACAACACAGCAGTTACACATCTCTACATCAAACAAAGATGAAACAATTCTTTAACACCATTCAACAGCTTCAGATCATCGAACGACTGCCATGCAGTAACACACAGCAGTGAATGCCATGGCAACACATGCAATCAAATCTGTAAAATGCTTCTGAAAGGGCTGTTACATGCATCGCTGCTTCCCCAGCCGTCTGCACACTGTGAGAATGATTTATCCAGAGTTCTCTATGCTGCAGGCACAACACCAGCACATACAAACATGACCCTGGATGACCTGCCCAAAGCAGCAGGGCTGAGGAGAGCCAGGTGGACCTCTGAGAGGTCAAATAGTACAGACATATATACTGGGGTGACATTACACAAAGAATTTGCCTAATCTTCTTCGTCAATCCACCCCAACCCCGCCAAAAAGCCAAAAGCCACCTTGGTTGCGCTCCTCCAAATGCTGCAACTCAATGCTGCATGCTGGGGTTTGGCAGTCGGCATGCGTAATTGGGCTCACGGGAAAATTACAGGCTTTGGCCGCACAGCTTGACTCGAACAAGAGTGTGTTTTTGGGATACACTCAGTGAAGAAAAAATTTCTCCTCTTTAAAATATTCCATTTTGCTGTGTGAGAATCTTGCAATAGTGCTCAGTTGGTTTACTTTAATTACTCTTATATGAGCTTTTTCTTTTTTAAAGACTTAAAATATAGCTATTAAAGCAATGAGACAACATTTATGTGCAAGATCAAAAGTACTTCTCATAAGCATTTCCAAAAAGTCTCAAACTGAGTCAAATTTCTATTAATCGCGGTTCTGTTGACTCACACAAAGAGCGATTATGCTGTGATCTAGTTTTGCATGAACAGCATTTGCATGAATGATCAGAATTTGACAACAGGGTCAACTTGTGACATACTGACCACCTCAGATTTGCTTAATAATTTCAAATAATAATTTCATGTCATTGTGTCCAGGAGACAGTATGAACAAATTTCAAATTTCATTTTTTTTTCTGCCACATCTGTAGCATGCGGTTGATTTTCACAAACAATAATATCAAAAGTTTTCCTGAATTTTATCTTCACTTATCACTTCAGCACCTGCCGACTGTCTTCTATTGTAAGTGTGTTTTGAGTTAGTTGGTTTTCCGTTCTCTACAGGGAAATTGCTGTCCATGGTAACTGACCACATGTTACAGATGTGTCAGACAGAGATTAGACTGGAGTATTCCTTTAAAATCAATGCAGCAGGAAAAGTGCAATCTTTGATTCATTACTAGAGATGGCATGTTGGTATTGATAGGTATCAGGCTGATATCACCAGAAAATGGACTGAATACTGGAGGTAAACAAGGAATGAATCCAATCTAATCTAATCCTGTAACCAATCAAGCCTGAAGTACCACTCTCACATTGCGTGATGTCATGTTGTCGTTTATGTACTTCTCTCCATGGGGTAGGAGAGCGTTTAAATAGTTTAAGCATGAGCCTACTTTTAAATGCTTATCTTAAAGGGGCATTTCAGCTGCTGGCATTTGATTCATTATTTGTTGTGTTATGCAGTATTCTGTAGCACTGGATTGGATCCTTCAGCTACATCGCTTCGACAGAATTCACATTTTTTCTCCTTTTTGTGCTTGCTACACAAAGAAATCCACTAATGGACCACCAACCTAGAGGTTAATAAATACAGAGATGAATTTCGGCTTCCACTCAGTCATGTAATCTGGATTATTTCTCCATTAGCCAAGACTTTACACTGGAAAATGAAACTTTAGAAGTGCAGCACTGCTGTAGATGAGTAGGCTTGTTTTCAACAGATTTAGCAATAGTCACAATTTTTATTTTGGCCAAAGTGTCTCTTTAACCCAGGTTTAAATCCCAGCTTTACTACATACTAAATGCTTACTATTCAGTAACTACAGGGACTTCAATGCAAACTGGTTAACCTATTCTTTATTTATAGAAGTGTGTAATGAAATTAAGGGGTTAAGAAAAGTGCTTCATTAAAATTTGTTTAAAACTTAAAAAAAAAAAAAAACAAGTCAGATATTATTAAATAATGGAATATCAGTATTGGCCAAAACTCAAGGTTTCAAAATCTGTGTCTGAATATAAATGGTGGTATCATGCCAACTCTATTCATTAGCTGAGCAGTTGTCATGACCTGAGCTATTACACCTAAACAAAACTGAGAAGGTCAGTTTGGGATTTTTTTTCTGAAATCTGGTGATTTGAGGTGAATTAACCCCAAAGGCAACAGTTAATGATTCTAAAGTGGTGAATACACACACACATACACGTGGTAAGTGGCAGCTGATGCATAGCAAAGTGCAGGAGCCTGGATGAAACAGCATGTGAGTGAAGGTCAAGTGAGTTCAGCCTGGCCAGACGACTGGACAAGTCTTAGAGTGGCAGTACATTACAGACACAGTAAACAGACAGAGACACTCTCCACATCTTACCAGAGCTGCCAGAGGAGAGATAGATTGCAAAAGGAAGAAAAGGAAAGGGGAGATGAAGAGAGAGAAGACAAGATGAAAGCCAGCACCTCCCTATGCCTGACCAGAGGACCGGATCAGGAGCGCTACAGAGAGAGAGAGAGAGAGAGAGAGAGAGAGAGAGAAAGAGAGAGAGAGAGAGGAGGTACTCAAAGCAGAGAGAGGAAAAGCTGGAGAAGAAAAAAGAAGCAAACACATCTGAAAAGATATATAGCACTGGAAAGAATTAGCACTGAAGCAGGAACAACAGAAGGCCAGAATTTTCCATAAACAGGTCATTAGCAAATAATGACTGGATAGAACATTAATGGAGCACGGAAGCCTCTGGGTAATGGTCCTTGCTTCCTTGCTTCACTTCTATGTGATTTATTCTATTGTTAAGGCCTGAAAAATGGCCTCTTATTGACTGATAATGCTGCCTTTGACAACTTTCATAGGAAATCAGTTATTTCCAGGCTTTTAGTTTTAAAAATGCAGTGCAAGAGTGATTATTCTTACGATAAAGGGAGGAGTGGATAAAGAAAGAGAGAGAGACGGTGAGAGAGCAGGAGAGAGAGCAAGAGAGAGACAGTGAGAGAGGGAGAGAAAGAATGAGATAGACACAAACACTGAGAGAGAAAGACAGAGAGGGAGAGAGAAGGAAAGACAATGATGAGAGAGAGAGAGAAGCGGAACAGAGAGAAGGAGGGATGTGAAAAAGCGAGGTAGAGATGCGAGTAAGGGAGGGAGATGCAAGAAAGAAAAACAGGAAGAAGTTAAAGGAGAGGAGAAAAGAGAGAGAGTAAGAGAGAGAGACAGACAGAGAGAGACAGAAAGAGGGAGGACAACAAAAGGAAAGCAGGGATAAGACAGAGATGGTGAGATACATGCAAAAAGAGGGAGAGACAAAGATGAAAAACAGGAAAAAGAAAGAGCGAGAGAGGCATGCAATAAAGAGAGTGTAAGAGAGAGAGAGACAGAGCGAGAGACAGGAAAGAGGAAAATAAGGGAAAAGAGACAGAAGAGAGAGACAAAGTGAGAAAGAGAGAGAGAGAGAGAGAGAGTGAGATGGAGGGACGACTTCAACTTTCCTTCGTCATAGCAACCCATCATTTAAAAACACAGTCTAACTTTTTTGGTCAACAGACATGCTCACACTGTCTCTGATTAATTTGTGTCTAGAGAACATTTCTGGAACCTATCAGGCATTTTATACCTAAAGAACATTTGGGGAACACAGTCACTTTATATCTAGAGAACGTTTGGTGAAAATATCAGTCATTTTATGCCTATAGAACGTTTAGAGAACATATCGCTCACTTTAGTGCTAATGATGTAGAGAGAACACGTGTGTTTTTGCTCGAGGCCAGTTCAGGCTGGAGGGAGTCCAACCAGGCCAAGCATCCAGCTCCTTGATTGCGAGCGCCGCTGGGTGCGTAAAAGTATACAACGTGTAAATGAAATGGAATACTGCAGCCAGCCGTGAGGGGAGTGGTATGTATTTATCAAATGCAATGCTTATTGCTCCAATATGTTTTTAATACATGTAACACCTGACAAAATACGCCCAGCTATGCCCTTTTTGTAAACACCAATTACAACTGTTGTTGCTTTCCTGCTCTTTGCAGGAGTTGTATATTTGTGTAGTGTGCAGCACGCACCCGTGTGAAGGCCGAGAGCGAGGGGCTAGATGTGCCTCCCCAGCCCGCAAATCAATAAACACAACCTCATTACCAAGCAGAGACGAAAACCTGAATCAGAAACACTCCGTTTCTACTAAATCTGACTGGCTTTATGGTTCTGTGTACAGGAACCTGAAAAAATGCTGAGTGGTTGGTTCACAAATAGAGAGACAGGGAGAGAGAGAAGATGAGAGAGAGAGAGAGAGAGAGAGAGAGAGAGAGAGAGAGAGAGAGAGAGAGAGAGAGAGAGAGAGAGAGGCTGCAGTTTCCAGCAGTAGTTTCCAGGCTGTGGCTGTGTACTGAGGAGTCCTGCCCAGTCAGTGCTGCATTAGCAAACTCTGGGCCTATAAAAGGATCAGCCACATCCAGCCAGCGCTCGCAGGGCCACGGGGGTAAAGCAAAGTCTTGGGACGCTCGTTATTAGCGCAGGCGCTGTAGAGCGCTCACTGACGTGCCGAGGTGCTGCACTTTTCTCACAAGCTGAGAAAACCAGATGTGGAGGGAAAATCCCTCTAAATAGACACACAATAGACTTGTGACTGTAAAAAAGTAACCATGGAAGTCTGAGAATCAGAACAAAGTGATGGGAAAAACATCCTCTCCTCTTGTGCTATTTGATAGAGGCATGAAACAAGACAAGCACACGGATATCTGGTAACGCTTTCTTTTCCAGTCCCCTAAGTTCTAGGTAGTTAGCAGGTAAGTGTGAGATACAAACTCCAAAGTACTGGATAACTATTTTGAGTACCATGATGGTAAGTTCTGAGACAGTTAATCTAAACAGGTTCCAGATACTGGCCAAATCTGATTTCACCCCTTGCCCCTACCACTTAGCCCTTACCCCTCCGTTTTAAGTGTTCCCACCTAGGGGTAGGGCGTCACGATTTTTTGTTGATAAAGAGGGATGGGGCGAAGTGTTAGGGCTTATGGACCTCCAAAACAGAGGTTTTTCAGAGGCACACTCCAAACAAATTGTAATAAGAAGAAAAGATAAACCAGCAAGACGACTGCCCAAGCAACCAAAGAATCTGAGCATTTTCTCAATTAAAAAATTACGATAACCACTGTATTATCTTAGTTTACTGTCTTTTCAATGAATTATGGTCCTTTCCTCATAACAAGCATAAAAATCACTATTACTATGCTGATGTCTCGGTAGCTAGCTAGATAAATTTCCTGTTCCACCTTAAATGGTGCAACAGTTACATTCTGGCACCTCTAATAATACTAAATAAGTGTCACATCTCCCCTCTTTGAAGGCATAAGATTCCCTAAATTTAACTAAAGCCCATCAGTGAGGTTGCTCAACTTTACCCTCTTCTGCTGTCACTGCAGACTGGCAGGGTCGCCTACAGAGCACCGCTAGCAGCCTGTTAATTTCATACTTGAAGATTTCAACCATCACCCCTTTTAACTCAGTTCCATGGGGCAAGGTGACACATGAAAACAAGGGGTAGGGGTAAAAATAAGAAATGGGTTTGGGCCATTAAGTTAATAAAGGACATAGTAAAATACTTCAGAAATATTTGTAGTAACAACATAGTGAGTACAAAATTTTCACTGCAATGCCACACGTTTAAACAGGAAAGTAAGTACTGGGTAGTTATATGGCATAAAATGACAGCAAAAAATACAAAGATAGTTTTCTGAAGTAAATGGTTAGGACCCAATGAAACACAGCTAGAATTATTGCTTTTACAGCCAGTTTTGTTTACAGGTAATAAACAGGTATATACTATGTAAGACTCTTATTATGTAAGATGTACAATCTGTATATGTCATTACTTTTTACCCCAAATAATTACACAGCGTGGAGTTTGTACCACATTCACAAACAGCTAATGCCAAAGACCTGTTTATCATTTCTTCCTTTATCACCATTATGTTACCCAAAATAATTACCTAGTACTTTGGAGTTTTTACTTCACTTACCAAGTTAATACCTAGAACGTAAGGAACAGAAAAGAACAACAACAACAAAAAAAGCATTACTGGATATCTCACAGCTAGCTCTACATGTGATAAAATTAGAATCTGTTATTTTTCAAGGTTTTTTCAGGGTGTTGTTTCAAAAGATCTGAGGATAACGGTCAACAGCTTTTAACAAGTCATGCTGTGCTAGATAAGAAAGTTCAAACACATTCTTAAATAATCTCTTTCATCTATTTACAATGTCAGGAAGAAGACTGGAACTGAGCATGAGAGGAATACTGTGTTTTGTTTTGTTTTGTTTTTTTTTTTGCTCACTGGAAAAAGATAGAGACAGAGAGAGAGAGAGAGACAGAGCGAGAGAGAGAGAGATCTCACTGCACAGATGACACAACGCCTTCGGTATGACCATGTACACTTCTAAAACAAAACAGCTTGACCAGCATGACTGTGGTATTGGTCAGTGAGACAGCAAGTCTGCCTCTCCATAAAGTTTTACTTACAGTTACTAAGGAAACACTAGCCTAAGCACGATGCTGAACTGATGCTGAGGCAGAGCTTTGTTAGTACTGTAGCAGCGTTATTAGGAGAGCTATTATTTCTCTGTACCTTGAGCCACTCCTCAGCCTGCTCTTTGCTGTGCACAGCGAGGACCAGGGCGTCGGCCCCCTGGTGGACAATCTTCAACTCGTGCTTCTTCTTTTTGCTGTCTTTGGGGATGTGAGTGATACTGCAGCCAGACAGGAGCAGCTCCATCTGAGGAGTCTGATCTTTAGATGACTTATAGCACTGAAAGAGAGAGAGAGAGAGAGAGAGAGAGAGAGAGAGAGAGAGAGAGAGAGAGAATTTATAATCTTATCTTTGCATTACTCAGCAGTTTAGCCGTGCATTAAAACCCTTTGTAAATAGGTAATAAAAGAATTGAATCAGCGAGAAACTTAAATTTCTAAATAAAAGTTCAATTAATAAATAAGAATAAAACCTTGAATCTGCAATAAAGTAACCTTTATGTAGATGGGAAAGAAGTTGATCTTTCAAAGTTAATTAATGTAACAAGCTTTTCCAACTTATTTTGGACCATTTCTATTGGTCTATTAATCATGTAACTGTGACACAATGTAAACAGCAGCCAACAGCAAAAATAACAAATACAACACACACACACACACACACACACACACATATATATATATATATACATATATATATATATATATATACATATAGAAATAAAATATAATATAGAATTACATGAAACAAGAAGAAATTAAACAAACAATACAATTAATACAATACATGAAAAAAATAAACTACCACTTCTTCTACTACTACTACTACTTCTAATAATAATAATAATAATAATATAATAATGATAATAATAATCATCATCATCATATCAACATCAATCATGGTACTGCCTTGTTGCCAATTAAACAACAGTTTTTTTATCTGATATGTTGTCTTTGTACTACTTTCAGTTAAATACAGGGTTTAAATGATTTTTGCACATCATTGCATTCTGTTTCTATTTATATTTAGCACAGCATCCCATTTTTTTTGGAAACGGGGTTGTAACATTTTTTGCTGTGTGTGTGTGAGTGTGTGTGTGTATTTGTGTGTATGTGTGTGTGCTCACCAGGAGTTTATTGTCTTTGATCACACACAGCAGTTTGGTCCACTGGCCGAAGCGTTTCTTGCGCAGTAGAAAGGCGCAGATACGGGCGTCCTTCACCAGGTCCATGGAGGCCTCCTCTGACGGCCACTGGTGCCTCATCTTCTGACCCTTACCATCCTCCTCTTCCTCATCATATGACTCATATGAGCTGCTCATCGCATCTGAGTCATAATCTGAGAGCAGCAAACAGACTGAAATGAGATCCTGCTGCATTGGATCTTCTCTTATTTATGTCAGTGTTGCCAATGTATATACTGCCCATCAGCAGCTTAGGAACACCTAAACTCAAGTGTTTTTAACACAATCAGGAATGTTTTCATTTTATGTTAGCAATAATTTAGCATATCAACTAAAAAGGATTATTTTAAGTGAAACACTGGTGAAACACATGTGATGTCAGCACTCATCAGCACTCAAACCTTTCAGCTGTTTAAACCAACTTTGAGCCAAAGATTTTCAGTTTGTTCTTTTTAACAGTAGTTTGTAAAAGAAAACTGTCAAATTGATGTTCTTGTTGTATGTCAACAAAACAAGTATTTTTTTCCTACTTAAAAGAAGTCACGGTGTCCCAAACTTGTGGACAGTGTATAACTGTGGAAACAGAGCGGCTAAACACCATTTTCTGTTATCTGCAAACTCTGCTTTAAAGTCATTGAGTGTTTATATTTGAAAGAACGCTAAATCTTGACTTCTGTTGTGAAAAGTATGACAAAGTTGATGAAGTGTGAGTGCAGTTGAGTTAGAAAGCATGTCCTCACTGGAGGTGATGTATTCTGGAGCTTTTCCAGGGCTCAGAGGCACAGCTTCCTCATAGTAACCCTCAGGAAGAGATGAACTGGGCAAGGGAGGTGGACCATTGTCTGGAGGCTGTAGGAGAGAGAGAGATAGAGAGAGAGAGAGAGAGAGAGAGAGAGAGAGAGATGTGCTGTGAATTAAATGTGCTTCTTCTGCGAATGTGATACTGAATGTGGTCCTACACAGCATTTTCTAAGCACCTTTTAAGGGGAATTCCACCGATTTTTCAAAATTATTGCATAATTCCGTCGTTGCGATGTAAACAAAGTCTTTCAGAGTGGTTTTATGTAAAACTGCCTGTTATAGAGAAAGCTATAGACTCAGATTTCTTTACAGTGGTGGTAGTAGGAACCAGGGGTCACGATGTCTATAATACAAATATAGTCATTTCATTTACTATCCAAAACCTCTAGCGAACCTACACGTCTTCTGAGTTTTTATTTGTTTATGATGGTAAAATAGTAGAAAATAGTAGTGGAAATATGTTTACGGAGAACTATTTTGCCCTGCATGTACCCCTTGGCCGTGAATGGATTAAAATAAATGGAATACCAAGGTGTTTTAGGCCAAAACTTTATCACAAAACTATTGCAAAATAATGTCTTAGCCATCAGGCAGCATATTCATAATGATTTTGTGTAACAACTTTCTGTTAGGGAGCTTTTAGAAGCTTTAAACTTTTTAGATGTCTGGTTCCTATCACCACCAGTGTGAACAATTCTGACTTAGTAAGTTTCTCTAGAACAGAGCATTTCACATCAGACTTCTCTGAATGACTTTGTCTTCATCTTAACCATTTTATTATGTAGAACTTTTGATAAATTGGTGGAGTTCCCCTTTAAGGCAACAAATATGGCCTTGAATTTACTGACAATAAACAACACCAATAAGTGAACACCAATTCTGCTGCACAATTTCCATGGTGACACATTTTAAAGCCCATGAATACTGTAGCAATACCATCGGGAAAGACAGGGAAGGCCATGATTCTGCTGAGAGAAGTGCTCTTTATTAAACACACCGGCAGAAAGTATATACAAGACACTGAACTCGCGGTGGAGAGGTCATCATCAGACACAAGCTTCACCCTGATGGTGACCTCTACACACAAAACAGCCCCAACTAAACTCACTCCCCACAGCAGAGCAACACACAAAACATGTACACACCTAAACTAACAAACAACAACACAAAAACAGTCAAAGACAGCACCAGCCGGTAGTGAGTACAATATCTCCAGAGAGAAAACACTGCGTCTGTCCTTATCTGTAGGGTAATGGCAGAGGTCCTCAGCAGTGGTGATAAGCTAATGCAAGTTATCTTTGATCTGGTGCCACAAAAGAGGTCACTGCAGTGGGAAACAAAACTTCAAAGCCATTAAAGAAAGATATAGATGACCTCCACTAAGGAAACATGCGAGGAGCAAGAGAGAATGTGTGAGATTTACAGGCAAGAGAGTGATGAGCGAGCATGCATTAGAAAGGAGAGTGGGCAGTTAAGAGGGAAAGGCCACAGACCTTGTTCTGATTGTTCTAAAGTGATTATATTTTGATTAGTAGTACCTTGGATGAACATCTCATAGTGCCTTGTTTATGGCGTTGTTTGCTTTGGGTTTTTGGCTTTTTGGGTTGGGGGGGGGTGTTGAGGAACTGTAATTTTCACACATTTATTCACAATTTGGGTTTTCAAAATTGGATTGGATGTTAAAGGTCAGTAGTCTCATGTGATCAAAAGACTGAATTTACTATGATAAATGATAATAAGACTTTTAAGCCATATAGTTGGATCGATTAAAAGTTTTCTTCAGACTTGTGCCTATTTTAGATATACAAATATATAATATTACAAATTTCTCATTCTTTCAGACACTGGGTTAGTAACTACTATGAGACGAACCCTAAGTTATGTAGTAATGAAGTGTGGACCCACATACAGACCTTTAGATTTGAAGTGGTTAATGAAGTATAACTTAATGAAGCACTCACTACTGAACCAGACATTTGATGGTAACTACAAATACTGGGTTTCCTTGAAGCAAGGACTAGAAAAAGTAAACAGTAATATACTGACAGATTATGACATTCTGCCCTGTCTTGCCCTTGTCTTTGTCTGTTTTCCCCTCTTTTTTACCATCCCTCGTGTCTCTGGCCAGGTGCTTTTGTTTGTTTCCGGCTCCACCCTTGTCCTGACTGCAACCCTACCTCTTAATTGTTCCCAGGTGTTTCTTGGTGTATATACCCTATGACAATAGCTGCAACCAAAACCACATACTGCCATACTACACATACTATACTAATGAATGGAATTGTAATGGTGCCGTACTGCTTTTGACATTCTACTTAGTATGGCAGTATGCAATTTTGGACACAGCCTATATCTTGTTCCTTGCTTGACATTGATTGTCTTGTTCACTTTTCATTTTTTACAGCTCCCTCAGTGCAGCTCCTAGTCTAGTTGTCATGGATTATTATTCTCACCATGTGGACACTTGTATGTTGTATACTATTTTAAAGAGCTCAGAACACAGTCCATCTCTAGTGTAGATGCAGGTTGAGTGAAAGCTGAAGGATGGATTGTGGGTTTGTGTTGGGGTCTGATAAGCCCTCTAATGGACCACTTAGTTTCTCTTGCATGGTAGGCCTCATTATCTGTGCCCCTAACTGACTCACAGCACACACCTGCTCCCAGTTACAAAGCATCTGTATCCACTCCGGGCTACATTACAACAAGCTCACCAAGTGCGTGTGTGTGTGTGTGTGTGCATGTGGCATTGCGATCTAAGCTAAGCTAAAGGCTTCCTGATGTGGGCAAAAGTTTGGACACTGCCGGTTTTTGGGACACTGTTGGCAAGACATGTGACAACCTCTTGTTGTCATAATGACACTGACCCCAGGGGGTTTCATGGGGTGCACAGAAACAGCTACAGCTGGTGACAAGCTCACAAACTCTCTCTCTCTCTCTCTCTCTCTCTCTCTCTTTCTCTGCCTTTTTTCTCCTATTGCATGGAAAGTCTGCCCTTACTTTCTTTTTCTCTCATTTGCTTCACAGACAGGGCCGTTATATTTCCACAGTTTTTGGGCAGGGGAAATTCCGACACACTTTCAGAAACCAAAGCACTGCAGATCACACACGCCACCTGGCACACCGCACCCTTACAGCAACGTCAGTGTGAGACATTCAACATGGAGCAATTACTGTCCATAAAACAGCGTATATAGTATAATGATTCAGCTGATATTTTATTGTACACCTGAAAAGGATGTGGCTAACACATACCGACACAGCAATGCGCCGGCTCCCACAGAAATGTGATTGGTCAATCTTGTGCAGCTGGTATGCAAAGCTCATTAACATGTTAGACAAGGTTTCCTTGGGTGAGTTTGTGAAATATACAGCACACAACTGTAGCAGAAGTGAAATGCTATGGTCTCCTTGGCTCTCTTCATATTTTGGAAGTGAAACTTTGAGGTGAAGAGGGGGAGGAGGTTAGGGCGGACGGGGAGACCATTTGAAAGAGAATGATCTGCAGTCATGTTCACTGAAAATGAGAAACATTTTTAATTTTTTTAAGAAATCCTCATAAGCAAGAAAATGAGAAAACTGTAAAAATAAGTCTGTAAATAATTTCGTAAACAGCAATTACCCTCCACTACATCCATTCCTCACTCTTGTGACTTAAAAATAACTCGCATTAACTTGCATTAATTTCCATGTAGTTCTTGAATAATATGCCTTAGAATGTAGTGAGCTTGGGGTTAATGTCTAGAACCCGAGGTTTATTAGGCAGTTACTAATTATTATTGGGTAACTACCATGTAACTAATATGCAGTTATATAATTAGAAGTATGAGGATTACAAGTGGCCTTGCATTCAAGGTTAACGTTTAAGCGATTAAAGGTGATTTTAAAGAAGTTAACATTTAGCATTCGATGAGAGCTGAAAATCACAAAATGTGAGTTTCAATTCAAAAGTTTCTTTCAGTCTGAACATCCAATTCAGGTCTTACAGTCAAAATGCAAACTGTTAATGCACTCCACATGACTAAATTATGGCAACGGTTTTAGGACTGACTAGAACATCCTTTTCCTTTCTGTTCTGTACTTTCTACCCCTCCTCCCTCTCTCCCTGAATTTGTGACACAGTTCCAAAATGTTCATGTACAACAGTCCTCCTCTGCATCTATAGCTCATGCCATGGCTACAGACCAAGCGTTTATCGCATTTCCTCTTGGAACTCTCTCTCTCCCTCTCTCTCTCTCTCCTCTTATTCCCGCTAAGGTCATCAAATCTCTAAACTCTAATTCACCACACATAGACAACTAGACACGCACACACACACATACTCTCACGCAGACGCACACTCTCACACAGACATACACACATGCACACATACTCTAATCCAGTCCAAATCCTCTACCTTTAGACTTTCAGAGAAAGGGCAAAGAATAACATGGGTGGGGAAGCAGAGGCCGGAGAAAGGAGAAAAGCTGGAAAATAAAGCTTACATCCTGACACATCGAGTAACAGGTTCTCTCCCAGGTGAAAGTCTTTTCCGCCTGTTCCACTTTAAGCCTTTGTGTGCTTGGAACAGTTGATGTTGGCTAGCAGAGATAGCCTGAATGTGCTCATTTCCTGCTAAAGTGTATTAGCTACAATAACACCAGAATTGAACTGATAAGGTTTGTACTTTCCTTGGTGTGAGAGCTGCACTGGCACATTAAACACAGCCCAATTCAGGGCAAATAGAATTCATATGCTGCTCATGCAGCAAATAAAACAGTTGTGATAATTGTGTCTTAGCCACACTAGTCTAGGTCCCACTTTGTATTAAGTGTCTCTAATGACAATGTAGTGACACATTAACAACATGTGCAGCAACAGTGAGTGAGTTTACATGCACTTAATAATCCGAAGACAATTCGAATAATCAGATAACTGCAGAAATCCGGATTATGAACGGATTATGGAGTGCATGTAAATTCACTCAATGTAACCATTGGTTACATTGTTACAGATGAATTACAGTCATAGAGCTTATGTAAATACACATGTGTATCAACGCTGCAGTGTAA